GGAGCTCCCAATGCCACACTAAGGTCCTAGTGAAACTCGACGTTTCACCCACCTTATATTTACTAAGAAGCACTTATGATTTCATCCAACTCTTGTTTTCTTATCTATTGTTATTAATCCAAAATTGTACTCTCTTAAATTCGTTCTGATAATTAAATAATACCTTACAATTGGTTGTCAGCTAATAATTAACTATTGTTGATACTTGATTAATCATGCAAAATATTAATTGACTCTTAAATGTCTAATAATCATTTTATTTTAATAGTTCTGATTAACTTTCTATTGATTTTGAAAATTAAATGTCTTTAGTTATCGTATAATCATTTTAAATAAGATTATCATTATCTTATTGAATCAGATAACTAATAGTTTAAATTAAATCTTCATTACTTAATTATTTTATAGAAACTTATTTACACTTACTAAGTTCACTTGTTTTAGTTATTGGAAAGGGAAATTTTGTTATTAATTGTTCGATGATGGAATTTATTTTTGAATTGTAATTCTCTCTCATTTAGTAAATTTTTTTATTTAACTTCTCTTATTTTAATTACCTCTTTGACTTTAAATCTTCAACAATTTTAATTTAATTATTTTTCTTTTGATTCCATAACAAATTTATTTTTTCAATTGAAGCCTTCATCACCAACGCTTTCTAAACAAGCAAATCTTTCTTCTATTAATTTATTATTTTGATCTAGGTCAATCAGAAGTATTTCTTTATTCTGGGTTGGACAAAGTCTACTTAAACTTAATGCTTTCTGGTAATATAAATACTTACTTTATTATCTTCAAATTGCAGGGGCATTAATTCAATTTAATTATCTTCATTGAATTCCTATATTTATATTTGGCTTCCTTAAAAGTTAAAATAGTTTAATAGTATGCTTCCTTATTAAAAATGAGCTCAAGTTCTCTAATTAAATAGTCAAACGATTAGGTATCTTATTGAAATTCCATTTATTTTTCAGTTAATGAAAGAAATTCAGATATTGATTTAACATCCTCTTAAAAATTAGACTTAGTTTAAAAATTTTTCAATAAAGATTCCTTTTCTTCTAGAATACTAATTTATGTTTGTATTTAATCTTAGATCTTAACCAAAGCACTACAAGCATTAATTTTAAACTCTATGTATTTTTCAAGCACTATTTTATATTATTGGAGCTTTATCTTGATTTCTCCAGCCTTTTTTTCCTATCTTAGAGCCTTATATTCTTAAATTCTCGCTTATGTTTGTTCAATTGTTGATATTCTACTGTTATTCAACTTCTCAACTACACAGTTACAACTAAGGTATTTAATAGATCCATTTTCCGTTGGGTTTAGATCTATTGCAATTATCTCGTAGTTATGAATTTGACATAGATTTTCACTAATCTCATACTTTTAAGAAGTTGATTAATTCATTTTTATTTAATTTTTATTTTACAATATACATTTACTTTCTTTTACTATTATAATAAAATTATTTATGGAAAAAGTCGAATAAAAGTAATTATCTTATAATAAATTATAGAATAGAAAATTTAATAATTTGTTCTTTTCTATCATTCAAAAGATATTAAAATTGTTATCAGATAAACACTAATAAAAAAAATAAGAGAGTTTTCATTAAAATATCAATCAACATATCAAAGTGCGCTGGGTATATGATTCAAAATCTATTTAATCGTCTTCAATAAATTGTATAAATAAAGACTATGAGAAACAACTCTTGATTTTAAATGGCCACTTTTTTAATTAATACTATATACAAAATTGAAAATAATAGCATAATACATGAAAATTTTGCTTTGTACATGGATAAAGCACTTGAGTGTTGATTAAGAAGGGCATTTTAATTAGAATAGAAACTTTTAATAATCATATTTAGAAATTTGGTCAAACTTAAACTTTTAGTTCCTCTTATTTACTATTTTATGATATTTATCAAGATATCATTAGAATTTATACCTATCTATTTATTGAAACATGCGAAGAAGGAAACCTATTAGTCAATATTAAGAAGACTAACTATATTGAAAGTAGACCTAACTCATTTTTTGAAAACTTGGGGTTAAATAAAGTCGAATCTTTCAAATATCTGGGAATTAGAATAAACCAAAGAAGATATATTACTGACCAATACAGATGTATAAAGAAAGCTGTTATCGGGAGAGTAAGACAGTTAATTAATGATTAAGTAAATAATACATTTAGAATGCTCACTAAATTATGGATCTTGTGCATGTTCTAGCAACCTCGCTATATGATTCCAAAAGACAAGTCAGATAAAAAAGTAGCAGACTCTCAAAAGAACTTCCTTTAAAGCAATGTTAAAATTAAAGGATATTTCCCAATAGAAGTCCTAGATACGAAAGTCCGACTAATGGAAACGGACTTCTAATTAGAGAAATAGATTTACTACAGATAAATTGGAATTATTCTGAGAATTTCCGAGAAAACAAGAATAATCTCTTTAGAATGAAGAGGATTTCTTCTACGCTATGAAACTCTTATTCTATTACTTTAATTAAAACATAGATTTTTAGAAAAGAACTCTAATGAGAGAATGTTTATAGCTTTTAATGAAGGAAAAGAGCTTGCAAGAATTCCTTTCAGAAACCCAGATTATACCAACAATTAAATCGAATGGCAATAGAATACTGAAGAAGAAATTGAATCTAAGAAGAATTATATAGATCAAGAAAAAATCAAAAATATTAAACAGAAACACTCTGATATAGTACATACGTACGTCTTTCATCTCCAGTGTCAGAATAAACCATGTCCTTTACTGGC